ATTTGTCAGGTTTTTTTTTTTTAATTGCCAAATATATTGTCACTTGGAAGAGAAGTTTTATTGGATTTTCAAAATACGTGATGACATCAGTTGGTTTTTTGTGTGGCATTCATTGAAATTGACATACCGTTCAAATTTAATTGCACACAGCTGATTGTCAAATTTTTTAACCGTGGATATTTTTATCTATCACATGTTTCTCTTTTCAAATTAAATATTTCTCTGCAAGATGCTTTTTTTTTCCTGAGGGACTATTTGCCTGGGTCTCGTTCCAACTTCTTTCTGTTCCAAGGAATTGCAGTTTCTTTCCAGCAGTCATACAGCGATTCTCAACTGACTTAATGCTACTGCATCCAGAATTCCTGAGGTAGATGACTCTTGCCATTAGCGCTAAGTGCTGTGGTGGGCTCTTTTGAGCTGCCTGACAGAGAGAAACGTGTCTGTAAAAAAAAGAAAAAAATTTCCCCTCCAAAGTGAAGTAACATGTTGAGGCATTGGGATATTTGAGGAAGGTCATCGCAAGGATTATTGAAGAAACAGACAACCGTCTCAGGAACAATGGCATTTTGGGTGCAGCTGGAAAAGTTCTGCTTCATTGTCAATATCAGCATCCTATTGAGGCTTTTGGTCTGTGTTTGTGATAGTGTTATTCAGGAAAACAATTCAAAAGACTATGAGAAAAAAATTGAGCTGAAACAAGATGTTCTTTATTTTATCTTTGCAGCTCATTCATTACCAGTATTACTAGTACAGTTTTGTTTTTTATTTTTTTCCTTCCGGAGGCACTAAGTACTAAAGCCATTTATAACTTGAATCTTAAATACTTAAATCTATGAATGGTCTGTCAGAAGACGTCTTTCCTACCTGCTTGTGCCTACCCATTAAAAAAAAGCTTCTCTTTTTTTCTCTACTTGAGAATCCTCTCAACTCGCGCCATTGCTTGTGATGCATTGGCCATTCATGATAGATCCCCTTGATGAATGGGCCTCCATTTAGCTAGTCCGCTGCCCGAGGCTAATGTTGTTCTATCGTCAAGTGAAATCTATTTGAAGTAATCAAATACAACTTAAGTGCTCCGTTTTTTTTTTAATGCACCTACACATGTTTTTAAGGACTCACCCAAGATTGATGCAGCTTTGTGCATCATAATGTCTTGTAAACTCTGACCTACCTCATCATCCGAGAGCACATACATGTATAGTGGACGTGAACAAACTCCTACATCGATGTGCATATGCATTACATGCAAACTTTCCCCTCATCTACAGATCATTTTTTTTTTGCATTTAATCAGCAAGAATGCCTTTCATGAGCTTGATATCAAGTTGAACATTATTATGCTCACATCAAAGGCTGTTGTCAAAATTGCTGCCAAATCTAATTGAGGCATGTTCTTAAGTTCCACATTTCTTGCTAGCTTCAATCGGTGAAGTGCAATTTCCATGCTGGCCTCCCATGACGGGGGTTTCATTCTAAGGGCGAAACTTAAAACGTTTGATACAGAATGTGGAAATTGTATTATACAGCCGCTCCGGTTATGGCTAGAATTTGAGACGAATTGCGGTTTAGCTATCTCCCTCAAGTGTCATTGATCAGATCCTGAGAAAATACTTGCCTGAGTTGAATGCCACCCTGTCCCGTCTTGGAGGGCAGCTCTACCAATGCATTGGCTTTTCAGCAGTGGATAGTGAAGAGATCCGTAAAGTGACCATTTCCAGAACTCCAAAAAGAAGAATGAATTGATGCACGTGGAGCATTGCCAGTGGAGCTTCCTTTGGCTACACGTGTACGCTTAACTGCCTCGCACAGAGATGCATGCACGCTGACTGAGACCCAACACTGTCCCGACACAATGATATTAAATTGACTGTTTGTAGAGTAAATTTGCTCGGATAATTAACATTCACTACCCTCCTCTGGATGTGACAGGTTTAATGAAATGTCCGTGGCCACCGGCCATGTACACAGCTGTACATACTGCACTTCCATGTTACACATTTGTTCATATTTTCCAGTCTCGGCCGTCTGGTCCCCCCCCTCTCTCTCTCTCGTGCTGTGACTGTCTGTCATGCCCTGGCAGAGCTGACTGGCAATAAAAGACTCTCTGACAAGTGTCACAGCTTTTTATGCTTGATGGCTACACAGATAGTGTGCATCTGCTGCTTGGCAGGAATTGCTCCCTCCCACCATTGGCTGAGAGTTCACCTGTCAGTGCTCAGTGCAAATCTGATTGGCTGGCAGGCCTTGGTGGTGGACCTGGCCGAGTACAGGACATACTCAGCTTAGATTTCATTTATTTTCAAATGCTTCACTTTGCATTGCCTACTATGTTTTATTCATGTGTGCTAAGTTGTAACTGCCGAGAAGGGAAAAGATTTCAGCAGCCAATGAGGGCTGGGAGCAATAGCTGTGTTTTCTTCCATTCACCTCCAACCCATGACATCATCTCGCCCCATTGGAAACACAAGCACATGTTGGTGACAGACCAGCCCTAATTGGATTGGCCGGCAAAGTGGCCGTAAATAGCTGTTTCAGACGTATCTTTTTGCGACTGGTTGATTGGAAATCTCCTTCAATATATTACTCCTTTCATCCCTGCGAGTGGCCGTCAAAGCCCCTTAAGTGCACGCGTGGGTACATTTTTGGTCGTTACCCCAGGAAGATGGTGAATTGGCAGTGCATGTTAAATGGTGTTTTTAGCCATTTGCCGTCCAGTCCACTTCCCTAATGGAGGGTTTTGTTCAGCCATCATAATAGATGACTTAAACCAACCACTGAATGTAAGATTAAGATTTACAGTAAGGTGTTTACTTCAGTCACAAACCATCACTGTGTTTGCACTTAAAGTATTTTTGCGTAAAGGAAATGACGTAAAATTGAGAAGAAGTTATGTGCCATTGACTTTGCATGAAAAATGTTACATAGACTGAGCTTGATGTTGAAATATGAAACCCGATCAAAATCAGTTACATGTACCTTCATGAATAGTCACACGAGTATGAGGCACACTTCCAGGATGAGTGGACCTAAATTGAGTTCATTCACTGAGGTCATTATTCCTGGGAATTCAATATTCATTTTGTACCATATGTTTGCCGTTGGTGAGATCGAAATACACAAAAGGTCATGCATGATGATGATGATAATCGCTCGCTCAGTGCTTGTGAGGATCAAGAAGTGTAGTGTAACTTCTGCAAGCACAAAGATGGCTGTGGAGCCCGATCCCTACAGAGCAGACTTTTCCCACACTTTGGACAAGGGAACCAAATGCATGATACATAGCAGGTTGAAAGTCAAGAGGCATGACAGTACACAGTACTAGTGTACATGTACTAGATTGAGAATCACACACACACAAAAAAACACTCCCTCTCGGATCAGGCTGCATGGCTCAGTGGTTTAGGAGTTCACTAAGGAGTTCACTTTGGAAGTGGTTGGATTCCTACCCGGACCATCTTTCTTGTAATTTTTTCCTCACACTTTTCCAAAGTGTCAGTGAGAAGTTGGAGCTTTTAAAACATTTAAAAATTTGTCAACTGTGAAATATACACAAATTGAGGAAGAGGCTAGGTTGGGTGAATATGTGATACGGAAAAAAAAATATTTGCCGCCAGCCTGAGCCAATCTCATGGAGCTGCTTACAGCACAGATATTTGCTAAAGCACAGGAAAATGTGTAATACTCTTGTATGAAAATGGCTGTTGTGTCTGGCTGGTTCCCGGCACACAAGTTTTACTAAGCAATCACTGCTGCCGAACAGCTTCATGACATTGGGCTCTTGTGGCTGCTGACATTGAGTTTCTTTGTTCCCTCAGGATTTTTCGCTGTCAAAAAGGAAGGTGAGTTGCCAAACATTCCTTGACACTGCTTCCTTGAGCTTGCTGAATGTCTGAACACACTGCACATGCCTCCTTTTGTTGGGCATTTTGCTGGATAAGAAAATGGTATTCACTAATCCGCAACTGATTTCTCTTCTAACTAAACCTTACTCACTAGTGTTCCATAGAGTGAGTGACAACAATACATCAGAACCCATATGTGAGAAAGTTTTGCCAAGTTACACATCGACCTCTTGCTAGACTGGGGCTCCTTGCAGTCTCAAAATGGAGTAGTGAGGGGCAATCCACAAACTTTGATATGCTGCCTCAATCACTGCCGTCAGTCTGAGTCAAGTAAATTTGCTGGACACTAGTGCTTGTGAAGTCACAAATACGCTTAAGTTGTAGCTATGTGTCATTTGCATCATGGAAAAAAAAAGTTGGGAGGGGAAATTGCTTTAATATTTGTGACTGCAATCTACCCGTTTCTGTGTGATCATTGGCAGCCATGCTAATTAGTAAAAATTTGTCAGTTCTTCTTTCAGCTGCATTTCATCGCCTGGCATCCAGTAGTGTCTTGGCATTAAAATAAAACATGTCTACCGCATGGTTTGCATTGTTACAGAGCATGACATGTCCTTTTTTTTTAAAAAAAGAGATAAAAGGGAGAGAGAGAAAAGTAAAATGCCTTTTAAGTTGTGAACGAAGCATTGTGGATGCTATCACAGTAAGAGGTTTACAAATATTTGGACACGCTTGTGGACTTTCATACGAGCATCATGTACATGAGTGGCTGTTGAAGTGTCAAATTTGTTTGATCAAAGCAAAATCACGCCATAGGAGCAGCTAATTGCACTGAAGCAGATTTTGTTCCTTTTTATGTTTTCAATCACAGGAGCGCACGTGCACCGAGCAGTGCATCGAGAGCACACGCTGAAGCATGAAAATAACTCGCCACTGCTTGTTGTCAAACACTTGGCCTCCTGTACATGGGAATTTTTTTTTAAGAATTTGTTGACAGTCAAAAGATGCATCATAGATGTAGGACCCGAAAATGTTCTGTCCACAGTTGTTCTAAAATAAGTGCAGGGTTAACATCTGCTGATAACAAAATACCTAGGAATTTGTGCATTTTGCAGGATTACCCACCCTTCTGGTTTCCCTGTCCATAGAGAGATCTCTATATACATGTACATGTACCATGGAGCTACATTACCTCTCCATTTGCAAATATGTTCTGTTGCAGGTGTTTTTTTTTTTCAAAGATGCATTTTTAGCTTTTCCAGCTTCTCAGTCGATGGAAGTATAGTGCACAGTATTTAACTGTAGTGGGACTGGGAGCGCGTCTACCCTACCCATGTATTTGCATTGCCCACAAGTGCCAGCATCAAATAGTGCTGAGCACTTGTCTTGCAATCAGGCTGCATTTCCTCCTGTGCAGAGGAGACAGCTTGAAATTAACCAGAAACCCTAACCTGAGCACACAGTCCAATTCCTCACAGTCGTCACTGATGGACTTCCAATATAGTTCCGTTGCCGTGGCAACGCAGATAACCCAATTCCGGATTGCTTATTCTCGTTTTGCTAATTGGGAACTTCTGGCTCTCAGTCTGTCCATTTTGATTGTTCCCTGAAACCGAGTAGATGAGTGCATTGATGTTCCCTAGACTGAAGTGTTAACGCACTGGCCCTTTGAGAGGAAAAACGTGCCCCTTCTTATTCAGCTGAAAACATTTCATCCTAATCATTTTAGACACACGTGTTCACTTGCCAAAGAAACGACAACCCATACACATTTTGGAATGCATTTCTACCAAAAATTGCTGAATTGTGAACCGGAGAAAGCCTTACAAGTGGGGAACTGCAGCACCACTTGTACCAAGAATCTGAACGGACACGAAGAATTTGTATTGTTCTCTGCTCAGTGAAGGTATTTTGTGTTGCACACGGAAGAGAGCTCAGCTTTTACTGTTCATGCCATTTGTTTGTAAGAGAGGCTTCTAGATTTGCATGTACTTACTGCCTGTGATATCATCTCAGAACACTGCACCATCACCTCCCACTCTTGAAGTCGACCCTCAGAGAGAATTGTCAATTTGCCAGGCTCAAAAACGAGACGCTGTGAGAGAGAGAGAGAGCACGAGAGCGATAGCAGGAGTCTGCCGCACTTGGGCCTGCAGTGTGCAGAGTGTTGTTGATGTTGCCGCTGCCCAGCATACTGTGTAGTAGTGGTGGTGTGTGTGTCACAGATTTGCAATTGCCTCGCAATTGGCTGTTATGCTGGCATGCCTTAAGAGGGCAATATAACAAACGAGGCACGATCTGTCACTGGCAGTCCGAGGCTGATCTCCCGGGCTTGGCATGTGTTATTTCAGAACTGTGTGGCTGTCCGGGGCCAACTATAATCAGGCATCTTAAGTGAGTGTGCAAGGGGGGACGGTGAGCCTTGGGGGGAGGAGGGGAGGGATAGAAAGAGAGAAAAACCAGGGCCTTGTATTATTACCAATCAAGAAATAGGATTGGGGGAGTTATTAGTGTGGCATAAAGGATCCTCCTGGGACCTCATTATACATGGAACATACCTATATCTGTTAAGGAGTCTACATGCTCAGCACTCACTGACCCTCCTATCAACTTTTTTTTTCCCTGCTTGTGCCCATTGTACATTCCATCCAAGCCCTTTAACTCAAGTATCCTTTCAGGGAGGCACAAAAAACCTGCAAATTACTTCTTCTGCCCTTGTGTCTCCTCAGATCCCAACGTGGAGGACAGGGTGATATTGAAGCTGTTTGTCACGTGGGGACCATTTTCGTCTATTGATGCCTTCTCTTTATCCGGCCAGCTATTAAATATCTTCCCTCCTGTTTTGAAAAAAAAGGAACTTTATTCATTCATGATGGTCTTAAGTGCCTGTGTGCTGTAAACTGGGTATGGGGGGGTGGGTTGAGATGGTGAGGCTGACTAATAGGCATGGAGTCGTGTTTTGAGAATGGCTTCCTGCTCTCAAACGGGCAGGTGTGAGTTTCCCCCAAACCACTTTGGCTTCATCGACTGGCGAAAGTAAAGCAGGGTGATTAACCCCATAAATATTTATAAGTTGAATCCAGTTACCGCCTGGAAACCACTCAACTGTAAAAGGAATGGTTTGGAGATGATTACCTTCATGAATATTTATGAGTTGACCCTAGCCATTTGCTTTTTTTCTCTGTGTTTTGCCCATCTATAAATCAGATGCCCACGTTCAAGGAATGATTTTAAAGATGGCTACAAACACAGTAGCATGATAGGGGAGGAAAATTATAATAAGACTTGACTCTTTGCAAACAGAGCAAGCATAATGAAGTTTCTCTAGTGAGATTTGAAGCTTTCCCTTGGAGATAGCAAGTAAACTAGATAGATTTGCGGTAGCACCATGGAGAGATCTCTTTTTTTTTGAGAACGTGGGGTTCTGAAAAGAACAGGACCTTTTCAGAAATCCACATACTCAAAAAAGAGATCTTGCAAAAAGAGATATATCCATTGTGCTACCGCAAACCTATCCAGTGTTTCTAGTGCTGAAAGAAAGTGTGTTTTTGGCAAAGAATGAAAAAAATGCAGTGTGTCTGGTTAAAAAAATAAATCAGGAGAAATCATGAGATTAACGGTCTAACATTTTCTGCCACCGTTTTTCTTTCTAAACCTGTCTATGACTTGAATGTTACCGTTTTCCCAGCCATTGATGAAACTGACCTCTGAGAAAGACATGTCTCAGATTTTCCGGCTTCAACATTGCGTAGGAGAACAGTGAAACCAGCAATAAGACTTCACTTGTCCCAAAAAAAAATCCCCTCCCATTCAAGAAGTAATTTCCAATCCATCAACTGCGCCACCTCCTGCCTGATGAATCTCATTTGGGGTTGGAGATCTGATTGTATTCCTGGCCTTGGACAATGTTTTGAACACTTGGTTGCTCGGATTGGTGGTTTCTAGATAGATCCTTTTGGAGGTGTCACATGTTTGCTTAAGTTGATTGCTTAATAATGAGATTTTAAAGGTGCAAGTCTGGTGGTGAAAGGCATTTGTCCTGAGTTTCCTGTGTGGAAAACTCCAACTTAGATCATAGACTTCATGAGCGAGTGGGCTCTTTACTCACTTTGGAATGGGTCAGCTGTTGATTCCTGATAGTGTCATCTGGCACTTCCCCACAATACTGACCATCATGATGTACAGTACCTCCTTTGGTCAGAGGGTTGGTGTTTTGTCTTACAAAGGATGTACCCTGACTAGTCAAGTTATTGCTTTCTTGATATTAGTGACAGTGTTCGTGATTTTTTTTTTTTTTAGTCTCTGCCTTAACCTTGTGTACGTGACCTGTTCCGTTTTTCTTGGTCACATTTTTCTGGAAAGAGAGAGTTGATAAAGATGTATTTGAAAACACAATCTGCAAGGGTTTGTTTTGATTTGTGGCCATGCCATCTTTGCCACAGGCATTAAAAACAGTCTGTTTTAGGGATATAAATGTTCCCTCAAGAGGACTTCGTGTCTCACGTTTCAATTGATTAAAAACAAAATGAAACAAAAACGAAAGAAGTGGGTGATTTCACACAAGGACTAGGAATCACACGTTGCAAACTTAAAAGAGAGAACCCCTCTGCAAGTGATGAATTGAAAATACTCGGTATCAATGACTGGACTAGTGCAACTGTGACAGGTTGGGCTAATAGATAGTTAGACGTGAAGCTTAGTACATCGATATGTGGAGGCTTGTCAAAAACCAACTCGCAGCATTTTTATTTGTCCAGTTTTGCCAAAGTAGACCTGGATTTTTTTGGTCTTGAGCAATCATGGACTGAGCAAGTCTACTGATGCAGGTGTAATATTAAACCAATTTTGCATCTTAAGAAAAGGGAGAGGGAGAAACAGAGACAGCAGGGACAGATATTGAATTTCAGGCGATTCAGAGCACCGGACAAAATTAATCCATAAAAAGCTGGACGTAAATTGAATCATGACTGCGATATTAACAAATGGGCCTTGCACCGAAACAGGATTTGGCCACGCAGGATAATACATTGAGGAAAGGGTATCCCTTGCACTTCTGGCTGTGGGGGGTGTTATGTTATATTCGTACTGGGGGAGGGGAAATATTAGTACTAAGGATGATCTGTCCCCCCTTCCTTCCTTCCCCCTAAGATCTACCGTTGTTATTATCGCTGCAATCATAACAACTTACAAGAGCAATTTAAATAGCCGAAATTCCTGGAAATACCTTTAGGCAAGAAAATGTTGATTACTCATGTACAATTAGAGCTGCTGTCCCTTATCTCCATCATGTGGACCCTATTTTCCCCACAGTACAGCAAAAAAATCACATTAAAATGAGTGGAAAACACAGACAGTAACACCGCTAATGACCAGATGCATACGTAGATGTTTTTATCTTGACAAAAACTACTCGAAGTTAAACAGGTTTGCAAAAAGAGTTGTAAATTTTGGTATGTAAAAACTGAATGTTAAGCGTCACTTTTGTTCTTATTCAAAGAAGTGTGTTCAGTATTTTAACTACACGTGGGGACATGTTTGCAGTGCAGGAAAGAATAAAAGTTCATTGACATTCAAAAGCAATTAGCTTTGCTTCAAATCGGGGAGAAGAGAAGCAATCAAAGCTGAAACACCTTTGTCAGTGCTTATCCGTCACTTCATGCCCAGCTCCTTCATGCACAATATGACAGTGCAAAAGTCTTACCCTGGTCACTTCCAGTGAAATGTTTAATTCAGACAGCTGTGCTGATGTGGTCACCCCCCCCTTAAAAATGACTAGGTTTCAAGGGAGGAGATTGCATTGTCAAGTGTGGTTAGCGTCAGACCTAGGTTGGAAGTAGCAGGAAAAATTGCTGTTCAAAAACAAGTTTGGCTGCCCAGAGCTTCAATGTACAGTGTACATGTGTTTTCACAGATTGGTTGGTGTATGGATAATTCTGACGTCAGACAGTAGTGCTTTGTTGTGCTGGTGCAAGATTTGGGGAAAAATATTGACCCTGAAATTTAAGCTTGGGGGAAAATGAAATGCCTGTCGAAACTGTCCCTTTAAAATGACAATTATCTCATAAAAACTCTGCAGGCCCTGCCAGCAAATCATATCCGTGTTGGAAGTTCCATTGTGGAAATGAGGGGCCCCCCAAATTAATCTCTGTGTCGTGATTCAGGACAATGGCTGGATGGAGATTGAAAAAGATGAGGTAAACGGGCAAAATTGAATGCTGAGCAAAATAATAATGCATTAATTTGATGGAATTGCTTCACAGGACGAGGCCCAGAGTGCAGAACTTTATTCGCTGCGCGCACGAGATGAGTTTTTCCTTATTCGTTCAGGTGACTCAGCGGATAATGGAATGGAGGAATCTAAATCGACATCACTACTGACAGGACTCGCACTTGACATGCCACAAAATTACACCTTTCAGCTTGTTACCAGAAATTCTCGAGACAGTTTTTGTAGTGAGGTTACATGAATACAATGTGTAATGATTTTTTAGCAAAGGCATATTTTTTTATCCATTTACTACTAGATTAGCTTTCCACTCAAGAGGGATGTTGAAGGTTTCTCAAATCAAACTACAGCGGGACAAAGGTGACTTTGGCAAATTACAAATTGTCAAAGGAGGTCAACAAGCCTTTTTTCAAGCATTTCTTTTGCATTGCAGGTGTGGGGATTTTTTCCAGTGACAGGTGTGATTCTGATGGTTTTTACCAAAAGTCTTTCTTATCCACAGTTTTTTCTAAAATCTGTTGGTTCTCGTATGCCGTGAGCTTTCCCATTGTAGCACAGAAAGGCACACCTGTCATTATTGATCCTTGAAAGTTTTGTTTCACCCTAATGTAGTGTCATAGCGGCTTAATACAGTCTGCAAAGTCTCTATGAAATTGTTTTGAAGCTCATCCAGAAGCCAATCCTGAAATTTTTTCGCATTCCTGCAGAAATAACTTAATCATGGCGGTTGACACGGACAGCATATGTCCGTCTCCCTGGCCACTACTCACTGTCAGTATTACGCCCTTAGGGCCACTTGTTCTTGCATCAACTCTGCAATAAAAGTGTGTTTTCATCCCCAGCAAAACACCTGCCGTAATGAAAAACCCAGGGAAGGGGGGGGGGAATCAGGTAGCCCTTAAAAGCTTTAAATACAAGCGAGCAATTGGAAATGTTTGTGTGACTGTTGAAAATAAAAAGAGGACCATGGTAAATGGAGAGAAATGGTAGTGCTTGCCAAGGGGCGAGGGTATCTGTTACCGCATTGAGCAAGCAGTAGAGGGTTAAAAACTAGATTGAAAAGGGGGGGGGTGGTCTCAAGACTGTTGATGTTGATGGCGAGAGTGATGTGGTTCTAATGGAAAGATTGATCACAGGGTCTCCATGTGCAGAACATTGATTTTGTGGCTCCCCGGTTGTCAGATGGGCTGGGGTGTCCATTTTTAGTTGGTCCATCAGTTGGCAAAGTTGTTCGCATCATCTATCTTCTCTTTCAGGGTCACAAACTCCTCGGATGTCATTTTGTTTTTGCAGCGAAGGGGCTTTGAATAAATCAATGATTTTTTTGGGGGGGGATTGGTTTTTCATTTCCACGGTTGTTGACGTGTGGGATCTCAAGCCCCCTTCGTTTTTCCTCCTTGTTTTTCTTTTTTAAATGAAATTAATTGCATATCATTTGATTCCGGCAGTGGCACTGGACGTGAAATTGAATCCCTTGATTAATTTGGCTCGGCTGTCTTGGCTTTAGGGATGCAGTTGTTGCTCTCAAGTTCCGAGAGGATACTAAGTCAGCACCCTGCCCCTCTCACTACACTGCGCCCTCTCTTCTCACATTGTCCGGATTTGAAAGAACATTCTTGTCCCTTCACATTTGAACATTTGTACTGGGCATTGTCCATTAATATATGATCAAATACACCTTACAATATAAAACAATACAACCACTGGGCATATGTCTAAAATAAACATCAAAATTGTAGGCATGTCAAACCATATAAAATTATTCAATTGAATTCCAAAAACCATAACTATCAATTTAAATATGCATAGATGTATATTCAGGTGAAGCAGCTTTGACAGATGTGGAGTCTTGAACTTCACAGCAGATTTAGAAATTTTCAGCAGCTGTCACTTTCATTCTGTCCCTGTTCCCCTAGCTAGCGGGATAACTCAATGTAATCTGTGGTCTTCTGTAAGAACTTCTGTACAGTTGATGGAAGTTGATTTGTTCTGTTGCCCACACATCAATGGCTTGAAGGGCAAATACATTTTTATTTATTGCCTGCATCCTGTTTTTTTAATCCAGTTTTACTTGTCAGTGGGTATAATTATCTTAGCACAGAATGAGGCTTAACAAGGGAATGTGAAGAGTTGGAAACATTTGTTATAACATTTCCTCACATATAATGTTCAAATAGTAATCTGCTTCATCTCATCTTGAATAAAAGCCCTCAGCAGTTGAACTGCCTAAACTCCATAATCCAACAACAATCATATGATTTCACACCCCCCCCAAACTGTTCCCACCTGCAGGGCCAAATCCCCCTCCCCCCATGGGTTGTCATGGCTCTCCAGTTCCCTCTGTAGGGTATGCTTGCTTTTCCTATTTCAAGATAGCCATCACCAGATTTCGTGCACAACTTCCATTAGGGGGATTCTTTCTTCGCGTGATTGCCATATCGGCAATATCTCGGTCCTCTCTTGACTCGCGTTGGAATATTTATGAAGCTTTGCAGAGATTTGTCCTATCAGGAAATGTCAGTCTTGCTATATTCAGCTGCTGTTTTTCACGTTTTTTCCTTTTTTTTCTGTTTTGGCTCGTTAGTAGACACAAGAGTCCACTTGGTTTGAGCCATCGAGGGCTTGTGTACATTATAATTTGTTCAATCAAATACACAGTATGGTCCAGGCATTTGAATGCGCAAATAGTTGTTTCTTGATCTGTGAGTCTGTGTTGTTTGCAACTGTGCTGTAGGTCTCTAAGAACTCATGCCTATTAATTTCAAATTAATATTTAGCAAACTATTGCCAAAATACATGTACATGTATGCATCACCTTCATTCATTTGCTGGTTTTTTGCAGATAAAAAGAGGTAAAAATTGAGAGCTGTTTTTAGATGTCTGTGACATTGTTCCACCTTATTTGTTTCAAAATCTTTCCTTTCTTGGTTGAGTTGTGCAGAGCAGCATTTGCCTATTCAGGCTTCTGGGAATAGCCATCCAAAAATCAGTTCTGTGTGTAAGGTTTGTTCTTTTTTTGAAATTAAATGTGGTAGCCATTTTACTCATACAACCTACATATCTTTGCTACGTCTTGTCCCTTGTCCCCCCTTGCAGGTCATCCAAGCATGGGAGGCCCAATGCCCAGAATGAACCACCCACGGATGCCAATGCAACCGGTAAGTGAGCCAAGGTGATGTTGTTCCTTGCTTCAAGGTTATGACTTTTGTCAGTGTTTTGAAGAGAAGTAGTTTTCCTTTGTGTCTCTAGACTTGAATCACATCTGACTTAAGTTGCTCTTCCCAAGTCAGTCATCCCTTCAGCCTTTTCGCACTATACAGTCATCACGCTCGGCCCGGCAGCTTGCATAAACTTTAAAAAGTGCCCTCGTTTGAAAGCCTTTACTGTACAGTGTGTGTCGTGCATCACCACTCAGTAAGTCCGACTTGACGGATAAGCCAATCAGACCCCTCATCAGTAATATGTAGTTGTTCATAATTGCATATGAACGACATGATTTGCGTAATGTATAGGGAATTTCCAATCCAATCAACGTAGTCAGTATGAACGGCGTAAAAACAAATCCAGCAATCTGATTGGCTGCTACCCTTGTTTGGTAGTTGAGCCCATTAGCTGTGTACAAACAGTGTACAACAAGTCGGAATTTCTGAACTGAACTCATAGTAACAAGTGGACACAAGAGGGCGCAAAGCAAGTAACTGTACGCGGTCTCTATATATATTCAAAGCATAAACAAAGACGTCACAGAGATCCCAACATGAGTCAAGTCTATTGTGTCTCATGTTCTAAGTAATTGAAACAACATAAAAATAATCAAATCAAGGGAGAGGAGAGTCATAGGCTATTTATTTCTTGTGTAAGTATGGACTTTTTATATCTGTGGACTATTGTGGTATTTAAAATTGTCAAGTACTGAAAGATAAAGTTTCCATTTGTGAATTGCATTCTGATTGAAGACCTAAACAAACAAGAAACAATTAAGTATTCACTCTTGTTAGTCATTTTAGGAAAAGTGGTCATCTGTTTTTCATGCATGTTCTTAGACCGTATAAATACACGTACCAGTGGGAGAAGTTACTCCATCTGAATGTGAAGAATGCAGACTTTGTTGCAACCTGAGTGTGAAGCCCCATGAAAACTGACTCGTAACAGTTTTGCATCTAGTTACTTAATACTGCAGTGGTGAATGGAAGGGGAACCAGTGAGTGTGATACATATCATTTTTGATCATTGTCAACATTTTTGTACCTCCCCCCCCACAGAATGGCTCCTTCTCCCCACAGAACTACGGTGGTGGCATGAGACCGCCCCCTGGCTCAATGCCGGGCGGGATGCCCTTACCTATGTAAGTACATGTATATCTCACTTCTGAGTGAGGAAGGTTTTCAACTGAGTTTTACCGAGTGCTAAAGCATGGGTTATGTGCTCAAGCATGCCCTCTCTGGTGAGAGGGAGAGAGGGTATGGACTGGCAAGTGGATGTCGTCATCACTGTGTCCGGTGATGAGGTCCGTGGGACGGTGTACACTTAGATGAGAAGCGGGCTGTATCTGAATCAACTGGGTGTTTTCAAGAGTAATACATTCATGGATAGTGGCCGCCAGTGGCTTCCATACTGCACAACTGTTTTACAACTCTAGCTGGAGGTGTGATTTTCAGACCTGACCTTTATGGTCATACACATTCCACACGCCACATGCTATGAATGCACTGGGTAACACAGCAAAGTCCATATTGTGTCGGAAAGTTTGAGCTGAGACCCGCAGGGACATTTGTGCCTACAAAAGCCACATGTTCAGTTTAGTGGCTGCAGCTGCTGGCCATTGTCATATGTTTTCCTGCTAGCCACAGCCGCGATGTTCTTGTGAAGCCTGTGCAGCATTCGCCAGTCCTGATAAAGAATCAAATCCTCTAACATTGCAACTATGGCTGTAGTCACCATCAGGAGAAAGCTAGCACTTAATTGTCAAGACCATTTACACCTTAACAGAGCTGGTTTTATTTGATGTTTGACTCAGTATGACATCCTGATGAAAGGTAACATAATGGGAATCAAGTTGAGTTATATGGGGCAAGATTTGTTTTATGGCCATTTTAATAATTACGTACAGTATGTAGTAATTGGAAATTAACAAGGGGAACGGACAAATGTGGGGAAAGAATTCATTCCCATGCTCGTTGACATTTCACAAGGTGTGGAAATCTTTTCCCACTGAGAAAAGACGTGAAATCCTTTTTCCAATGTGTGGAAAGGTGTGAAATCTTGCCCCATCACAGGACATTATTTTCATGTTTTGTAAAATGAAAAATTTCCCATGGAGAGAAAAAGTGTACCAAGAATTTCCCTTTCCCAGGTCAACTTTTAGTTGTATTGCACTATAATGGGTTGGGTCTGAGTGGGTGTTATTGTTTATTTCTGCAGACTAAGTTCATTTTTTGTATGAAGTACGGGTAGTCCGAGTGTTGGGGCTGTTGCTATAAATGGTTTTTGTTTTCCTCTCATTTTCAGGCCGGGAGGAAGACCATGGAATCCAAACACATCAACGGTATGATGAAAATTTTTTTTTGGGGGGGGTAATTGTTTTCTTTCACACAGCAGACTTGCCTAAGACACAACTGCTTAGAAAGTCCCAAATTTGGCTCCAACTTGAGGAATTGAGAAAAAGACATATTTGGTGATTTTGTATGATTATGGTCAAATGAAACGTCAACCAACTTTCAAACAAATGTGCAACAGAATTGAACTAGAAGTACAGCAATGTTTGCTGCCTGCTGTACAGTCTTTATACTAAATAATTCATTTCTCATACTCAGTAACTCATTTCACCATCATTTCCTTGAAGGAACAGACATGTTAAATTTGAAAGAAAAGATGTAAAATAGTTCTGTTAAAAAAATTTCTTTAGAAATAAAGATTTCAATACACTAAAACCTTTAATTATGAAACATTTCACGGAACTGTGTTTTAAATGTAGGTAAACTATTCCCGAGCGTCACCAGGTGGTTTTGTTGTAAGTAATTTCTGTCAAGACAAAGAAAATAGAACAAAAGAGTCTGTGTATTGTAATTCTAAATAGTTTGAGGTTTGATCATGGCTTATTTCAACGCCTTGTTGGTGATGACTTGTAAATGTGCTACAAAGTCTGGAACAAACCTCAAAGTCTGTCGTAGATCCTACCAATTCATTGTTGAATGTACACACCCTTGCTTTAAAACTGCATAGTATTTTAGTTTTCATTGAGATCTGTGTGTGTTGCATGATCTGCAAAAATTCCCAAAATAAAAGCTGTCTAGTAGACTTCATTAGTTATTGTAATATTTGCACTCTCAGTATGGGTCTTAACTTAAGATTTCTGCTTTGTTGTGGTCACTTGACTGGGGCTGGATATAAAGAAATTTCAAGCCGGAATGTTGGAAGTCTCACGGCAAGCTTTGCCTAGTTTGGGTTCCAAGACCTCTAAGTTGTTTATTACGTGACAAAATCATCACACGTACACTGTTACAGGGAGCTAACACCTAACGAATTGCTATCACAGAAAGGTCTTGGAACTTCCAAAACGAAGCATTTCCATGTTCTTTGGCACTAAATACGTCAGGCTTGGTCTGTCTCATTGGCAGTCTCATTATCAGTGTGCGCTCCCATCACATCATGAGTTGGTGTTTTCTCAAGTTTCACCGCCTGGCTGCATGATTGTTGGACTTTCATTACTTTGACCCTTGAACTCTCTGGGCATTTATTTTTGAATAGACAGGGGTTTTTCTGAAGCTTTGAAAACCAAGCATTGCTGTGGCATGTTCTCCTGTACATTTACATGTGATACATTTTCTGGTTCCATGCAAAGTAACAGTGGATGTGCCTTGCAGTCCTGAATAGATCCAAATACTTTTGAAAATCTGGTGTGGGATTTTGGGCTGATTCGAGAGCAGCATTTGAACCCTGACAGTATAGAAATTAGATTCTGAGATAGAAATTCACATTACATGTCATGGGTCAAGAGTGGACATCCCATGTTACGCACAGGCTTTACTCATTGTGAATACATATTTGAGTGAACTGTACAGTTTTGTATTCCAAGCATTCATCAAAGTTTTTAATCAAAAACCTTTAAAATGCTTTCTACCTTTTTAAGTTTGCTGTTATTCATTTTTATGTATACTCTTTTTTAGAAGCTGTAACTGTGTACGTGTACATGTATATGATTTTTGACCATTTGTATGTACCATTTGGACCATTTTTAGGGGCCACTTTCTTGTGGGTACTAAGTGTAACTGTGTAACGAGATTGTGTAGTGCATGTGTGGGGTTGGTTCCCTACCAAAAATGATGTCCCAAGTGACATATATACACATGGCTATATATGGATTCAGTGAATCTGTTGCTTTGTTCCTAAAAAGAAGAAGACATTGTGGTTGGTAATTCATCTCATTCCAACAGCCGTCTGTTAAGCAGCATAAGTGCTGGTGTTCATACATGTAGTAGCTCAGTGAAATTTGGCCCAGACTTTGCTGTTTTTGGCCTGCCAAAGCAGCTTGTGATGTCATGTGTGGCAAACAATGTAGTGCTTTCTGAGTGGCTTCTGTCACAGATATACACAATAAGCATGATCACGTCTTGGCAGAAATCCACGTCACGCAGGCATGCAAGTTTTCCTCCAATCAACAGATCTTTCCCTTCACTGCCCTTGTATGTTATCGCAGATTGAAAATACACTACAAGAATAAAGTCTTGTACAACTTTAGTAAGATTTCCATTCTTTTTCTTGTCTGGTCAAGTGCATGTCTCACAGAAGTCGACCATTTGCAGTGTTGTACTCGCGTACATCATGAGCCTCCACCAGTCCATCACAAGTCAATGTTCATGTATTGTCAAGTCAGGTTACAAGCTGCTCCAAAAAACTGTGGCAAAAGCAGTCCTACTGTACACGTATGTCATCCTTTGTCCTGTCATTCTCGACAGGACATGCAAAAGGACTTGTGACTGGACATGGGATGGGCTCAACTGCACCACTGTTCATTTGTTGGAAGATGCCTTTTGTTAGTAATTTGCAGGTTGATTGAACAAACCACTTGTTGCTCTCTGTCCCTTCCAGGGTCCACCAGGCAGCGGAGGTCCACCCGGTACGCCCATCATGCCAAGTCCACAAGGTATGTTGGGGCTTCCGTCTTGCCTGCCCGTAGACTAGTTGGTTGCTGTAACACAAATGCCAGAGCTCTCTGGTCGATTCTTATCCTGCAAAATGAGTTCTGAGACCTCACCGGTCCGACTTCAATTCATTGACAATTGCAGGTTTTGCAAGCATATTTCTGCTGATTCCTTTCAGAGTGGTGTGAAAAAGCTGCAATTATGCCCAGACTTCTTCTTCACAAGTCTGTGTTTTAAGCACAACACAGTGAATTGAAACAACTTTTATAGCAGGTCTATCCTGAGTCTCAGTTTGCAGGATAGGGTCAAGTTGTTGTCTCGTTCGTCCCCCCCCCAACACGCCGCAATGCCCGTACCCTTAGATATCCCCCAGTCACACAATCTGCCTACCCAACCCATCGCCGATTGTAGTTCTTGGTCCCTTTGTCCTTCCTGTATGCAATCAGGTTCCCAGTTAGTGGGTTCCAAGTTAAGAACTGCAACCACCGAACTGCATGGAGTACTCAGTTCGTGAATAAGCTATTGCAGTGGTTTTGTAGGTTTGTCAATTGATATCGTTGCTGAATTTCAGCTTTGAAACGACCTAGGTCTAATCACACCTTGGTAACATAATCTGATGAATATACATTGTGTGCTTGAGCAGAGCCATTCTGATTTGGCATACTCCTCTCACGCTTGAGGGAACACACTTGTCATTTGGTGACATTGTGATGGCTTTATTTCCCTCTCACCACAAAATCATCATGGAGCTTTCACCTGCTGTTATCTGCCTCACAGCTTCCAGTCAGCTAGTTGTTGCTATGGCAGTTGTCATCTCGCATTAAACTTGTCATCTTTCTGCGCACATCTTGCCATAGAGAGCATAGAGCTGTCAGGCTGCAGAAGGCACCACGGTGTCCTCATGCCAGCCCATCAATCCACCCTGATCAATCCTCAGTTGCTCCTGCAGCATGTTTGTTTCTAATCCACAGCGTGTCAAGCTGTAGTTCAGTTTTTGTATAACCTGCTTCCCTTTCAACCATCACTAACCGCTTCTTGCCTACTAACCCACTTGTTGCACTTGTTTCTCTGTACTTTGTTGTAACTTTTTCCCCCGTATTTGCACCACACAATGTGAGTTTACCAAATCCTGATAATGTAGGAGTATTTTTGCCCACTTTTAAAAAGTCTCAAACTAGTGTCTGTGGTTTTTATTAACTCACGCTTGACTTGTATCTGTGCTGCTTCTTAGGTCTTTTTTTAATCATTTCAGGGGACAGGGTCTTAATCAATATCAATTGATATTCTGGAGTTAGGACCTTGATTGACAGTGTCTCAAGAAAGAATGTGATTCTTTTTTAAACATATTTTATGAGTAGCTAGGCAAAATAAAAAAAAATAGGCAGAGTGGTGAATTCAGGGTTATAATTATTTTTGAATAATTTAAAACACGAATTATGTAATTCTCAGTATCTAACCCCCTGCAGTTTGATGTAAAAAATGGCTTTTATTGATTTCAAGATTAAGAAAAAAATCAAACCTTTGCGGACAGACTTATATGTCCAAGTTCAAAGATGTTTTAAGCATAACGTGGAGAAGCTGTGACAAGATGGTCATTGCAACAAGCTTGAGGTGCCTGCCTGCTCTAACAAACATTGCAAATATTATTTTTATCCTCCCTCTCCAATCATCGGATTCCCCCACGCTTTGACAAACAAACGCCAACAGTAACAACCTCACGCTGATGCATTATTTGTTTTGTTTTCAGTCATTGCTTCCGCCAAAAAAAAAGAGCATTTTGCATATATATTTGTCCACTTCTCCTTCGGAACTTGGCTCTTCTGGTGAGGTGATTTGTCACTGCGCGTCATGAGGTGCAAATGGATTTTAAAGAAAACGTTGAGGAGAGTGAGCTTCTGGTGTTCCAACAAATATAACACTCGTATGAGATAGCAAGATGTTCAACCAAGCCCATGGTAGAGGCTTGAAAGAAAGCGTATTCTGAAATATTACAGACCACTGCAGGAACCTGAATATTCATTACATACTGGGGAAACTGATTTTTTTTTTCTTTTAAGTGCTCTGATTTTTGTAAGTCAGTTGATACTGTTTTATTTTCCTCAAATGGAGAATAAATCAATCCTCAATAGATAACAACTCGCATTAGCAATGTAACACAAATGACCGATCCAAATGTAAGTGGTCCTTGTCACTTCCAAGTTCCAAGTATCACTAACAAAGGACACATTATCTGAAGAGTGTTCTTGGCTCAAAATGCATCCTTTGACTAACCCCTCAAAATGACTCTATTCAGCTGTAGTTGGGATCATACTTACAAGCAGCTCAAGCTGAAACCTAAGTACGTGTATTTCTCAACTGTCCTTGATTACCTTTATCTTTTTCTACCAAACCAAAATAACTGATATGCTCATGTACTAAAAACGAAGCCAATAATTACCCAAGATATTGTTATCCATACTGAAGTAATAATTTTCAATCTGTAATTAAAATGGTACTACTGCCTTTATTTTGATCGCGCAAAATTCACAACTCATATCCTCAGTCACAGCACTGGCAACTTCTTGATGTGGAACCTCTGAGATGAATTCATTCAAGAATCAAACAATATCTCTGTCATATTATACAGCTTTTCACACCTGATCAGTGCATGCCCTTTTGAAGATTTTTCATCCTGCCGCTGAGAACTGTTCGCAACGAACAACTAAAAAAGCAAGAGTGCATGTTCAGCTTATTCAATGCGCACTTTCAGGTGTACTTGTCGCGTGGGCTTCACAGTGATTGCATCTATCCGATGCAGTGGATCGTGATCCAGCATGGGGAGGGCACATGCACGCTCAATATGGATAAACATGTTCAATTTGCACCCTCGAAACAGTGAGACCCACAGGTGTTAAATCTGGCTGTTTTTGTACGCAGGCACCCCACAAGCTATGTCCTCGGACAGACGCATGTCACAGGGTAGCTCAAGAAGAGGTGACCATTAACTCCATAATTTCTGACATCCAATTTTTTGTTACCTATTGCCCAACGTTTTTAGCAGGAGGTTAATAGGGTTTTTTCAGTAAGACCATAGTTACTTTGGTACGCATCTGTACATTACTGTAATGAGCCACTCCCTGTAATGATGTACATGTGCTAGGATTCTTTGATTACCAGCCCTTGTTCAGAATAGGTATCTACCCCATAAAAATCATCAGGCCACTTGATTTTGGCCTAGCATTTTAATGTTTAGATTCAGAATTATTCAGATTTTGACCTTTTGTTTTGGTAGGTTTTGGGATTCACTCTTGCTTTGTCAGGGTGTAGTGTAGGCTTTACAGCTGCATGTAGATTGTTGACATAGTGACGAAACCTTTCTTATTCCATTTTTCATGCTGTGTGTGTCACCTTTATGAATACAAAAAGGGTTCGTTGATTTCCTCCGAATTCCAGGGGTGAGATTTGTCAGGTTTTTATCTTGATTGAAGGATTTTGAATCATCAGGATTTTATTGAACTCAGGAATTTTCAAACAATCTCTTCAGTGTAGAACAGGCAAATGCATATGTATACCATAGACACCAGACTGCTGTGGAGCCCTCAAAACCTCTGGTAATTATTTTGTGACTGATTTTCCTCCAAACTTACCCCAGGTATTTTCTTTTCGCTTTCACAATGTATGGGTTGGTGCAGGTGCAGTCCACAAAGGTTTGCATGTTACACTAGTCTAGCTTTTCTTGCACCTTTGTTACTCTTGTACCTGTTCACTGAAATCAAACTCTGTTGATTGTAAATTTGTGTTCTTTAGATTCAACCAACTCGGGTGACAACATGTACACAATGATGAAACCAGTACCAGGTGGCAACATGGGACCAGGGGTACGTATTCTGAACAATTTGTGTCCTGGAAGTCGAATCTTCTTCAGAACAGAATGATTCTTGGCATTGCCCAATAACAGGGCAAGAGAATACTCGTGAAAGTGGAAAATAAGAACTGTAGCGAGAATATTTGTTTCTTGGACATCTGCTACGGGTAGTTGCAAAAAGAGAACAGATAAAAAGGGCTAGCAAACTTGCAGTGATTTTGAGAAGTTTGGTCGGCTTGAGGTTTTTTTAATTATTTAATGGTGTACCTCTAAGTTTCCAGTGGCTGGTGATTTTATCTTTTCTTCAGTCCTTAGGGTTTTTGGTAATTATTGAATTTCTTCAGCAAATATTTCATCTATTTAGGAGCTTGTCTGTCTTGTGGTAAATTTTTCTTCTAGAAAAAGAACATATCGTACCTCTTACACACGGAATACCATCCTTCAACACGTAATACCATCCTTCAATACGCAATACCATCCTTCAACACGCAGTACCATCCTTTCAAAATGGACAAACTACCAGCTCATTTTGAAATTGGCAATTAAAATTGTTCTTCCCTCAGTTGCAATAAACACCCAAGGGGAAAATCCCATCTAGAGTGTTGATTTTTTATGATTGAATAAAAATGGATCTTACTTCCTCAATGCAGTCAGCAGTGGGATGAGTTCTGCCCTCAACTTTAATAAACATCTGGTTAGCTGGCAGCTTACTTTACTCAGAGCTCTGTGGCATTTGTCATGGACACTTTATGAAAGGTTGTGTATTTCAAGGTTGAAAGGACAGACATGGCTTACCAATGCTATACATTTGGCCTTGACTATCAAGGATCAATGACCGGCAGTGTGTTCCAATTAAAAAGAGTCACCTTAAAAAAACCTCAATAAAATTGCAAGCTTTTGATTGAACACAGTGTGTGTGGAGTGCTTTTATTTCAATTTTTATGGTTCAATTTTGAGTCATTTTGTTTCTCCTCCCCTTTTGTTTGATTGGTTAGAATTTCCCGATGGGATCTGGACCTGACGGCCCAATGCCCATGGGATCACAGGACATTCCTCCAGTAATGAACGGTAAGTCAGATGGAGGTGGAGGGCCATGATTGGAGGTAGGGAAGACATAGTAGGTTGTACTGTGGGATGCGGAAACCAGGAGAATTGTCAGCACTGCGACAGGAAACAGTCCAATTGGATTGGAAGTGAATGTTGGAAGCGTTTGATGGAAGGGTTTGGTGGAAGGGCTCTTGGTTTTGTTAGCCAGCGCATTGGTTCTCAAACTTTGCCGTTAAGGGACGGCGACCATTTAGACCCGGTTTGAAGAGGGCCCCCGGTTGCCCACCCGGTATAATGCCTGCCCGGTATTCAGCCTACTTCAGGCCGGTTTAAGGCCTGTCTGCACATTGGCATTTCAAAGTCCCTGATGAAAGGCTTCCCCCAACATGCTTGTACAGATGAATAGGGGTCTAAGCGGATTAGTGTAAACAATGTATAGAGCTGAAGGATTAAAAACCACAAGCCGGTTCCATCTGGGATAGATTACATGTACCAGTACTTGCAAACAATAGACCCCGGGATGAAGAAGTTCGAGATCAACAACCAGTCCAGCATCCCAGGCCGGTAGCCAGGCCGGTATGAAAGGGGTTTTTGCAACCGGGCGAGCTTACCGGGGGGCCCTTTTCAAACCGGGTCTAAATGGTCGCCGGCCCTAAATTCACTTCTTGACCTAAGAAGAAGATGGTCAACCATTCTGATAAACAACGAAGTAGCTTTTTGAGATGAAGGTATGTGTATATCTACTTGCGATGTGTTTGTTACCTTCAGAATATCTGATCCATCATCATCTCAAGTGCAGTCCATAGGCGCGTGGACTACAGAGGGCAGTGTTTCTACTCTGATAGCACTGATTCCAATGTTTTTCCGCTTGAGGAGGGGTTCTTAAGCAGGGAACAAGTGTATCGCAGTGATCATAGATGTGCATGTATGGTTGCAGGTTTGGAGAAAAGTGAAACTGCAGAGCTGGACACCGTCTTGTGCACACCCTCTCTTGCACTGGTTTTCACTGAAATTTGCTCAACCTTAATGACCACACTTTTCCAAGTTTATTAATGCTGTACAGAAAATTTCCTAAATGAGGGAACTTCTGCAACTCTTTCAAATGAAAATACATGTTCAACATTTTTCAGAATGCACACACAGAGTGATCTTTCTTTTAAAGGCCTTGGACGATAAGATTCGATTAGAAAACTCAACTTTCTACATGTTCCAAAAAGTTACGCTCGTAAACAAAAAAGAAGGTTGAAAATGCTTGGACATCTACAGCTGTTGTGAACTCTTGTTTAATATTTAGCTGACCTAGGCTGCTGTCATTATGTAAGGGGGAAATGCTTTGTCAGAATGGACAATTTGACAGTGGCTTAGCCCGTATGCTCGTCATTCATCTTGCTTGTCTTGGATTGCAGGTGAGATGGATGGTATGCCTAAGAGTTCGCCAGCAAGCAATCAAGGCCCTGGGGGGCCAGGCACGCCCAGAGAAGACAACGGGGATATGAGCGGGCAGCTGTTTCCAAACTTCCAAGACAATGTAAGTCCCTGTGCCTTTGCCTCGCCCAATCAAGCATAAGCACCCTGCATTGGAATCTAAAGTTGACAATTCCATTAACCTTCATTTATTGAAGGATCACCCACAGCGTAATACTGTGACATGGAATTTTAACGTGTAAAAGGCCTGGTTCTGTTGAAATGAACCAGTAGATATTGACATTGCTCAACCCACTCAATGAAAGTTTGGCATACTTTTACTGTCATCTTCCGTGTTGTTCTGCATCATAAGGTCAATTTGTGTAATTGTGCAAAGTATAACATTTTGGAAACCGTGAATGAAAAACCAAGAGTACAAATCATTTCCAGTCAGTGTGTGGAAACTGTGAGGACAAATGAGGAATTGGAGTTTGAGGGCATGTTTGTTTCATATAGATCTAGATCTGGATTTATAGTGATCCCATTGCTGGTTCGCACCGTCCAGTGTGCGGGTTTTGGTGTCTATAAACCGACGACGGATCACTAATCATTCGACAACTCTGTCAGTAGAATCCAAGTATGCTGCAGAATTTCTTTAATGATGGGCTTTGGTGTTTCTTTCCGTTTTGAATCCCAGGACCAGAATGAGTCAGCGGCGATACTTAAGATAAAAGAAAAAATGGAGGAGGAGGCAAAAAGATTCGAGAAGGAGACCCCAGGCGAACATCCCGACTACTTTATGCATCAACCCTAGCCACACGCCCACACGGACACTTACACACCCCCCATGCACACACACACGCACCCAACCGCAGCCTACTCCTGGTGCCCTGCGCCAAACTAAACTTAACCAATGACTGCGATATCTGGTGCTGCCCGCAGGTTATCAGTGTCAGTCACATGGTAAATTCTAAGAGGGGCCAGACTGCTTGACCTTCTGACCCTGTAGGCTGCCAACTCCAGTGCGGCCGTCATGGGTCCTCGCACCACACAGAGAGCAGAGAGGAAGGCATTTTGACCAGTTGAGGCTGGTGCTTATATGCATATCGGAGTGACCAGTTTCACTGTTTACCACAAAGTGCAAAGCAGATAGGTACTCTGTTGTATTGCAAAGCCTTTCTAACCGTTCCTTTCTTCAGTCTTGTACCCTGACTGCAGATAGACCAGTGTATTCTGAAACTGCTAGTTCTCCGATTGATACACACTCTCCAGCCCGCTTGAGAAATTTGTCATGTGACTTTGAAAAAAATTTAAAGTAGCATCCATGTCAAGAACAACAAAGAAAAGGCTATGACAACTGACGACATGTGACCCTCCGACCTTTCAACTTTGACACAGACTACCAGGCTGCGTACAACAAAAGAAGTATTCATGGGAAAGGTGTTCAAAATGTGAATAAGTACGAATACTGATAGAGGAACATAAGAAAATATTTATCAATCCCACCTGATGGTGGTTTCAACACCCGTATCTAAAGTGAGTCTCTTGTTGATAATATTCAAAGCATTCGCGAGAAAGAGTCATCAGTTCTTTATGTGTATAATTACGCTAGAAGTTTAACTCCGTTGAAATTGCCAAAGTGATGTGCCCACCAATCATTACGTTGTTACATTTGAAAAGATTTGTAAGTATTACATGATACGCTCCACCAGTATTCAAAAAAACAAAATCTGAAAACAGGATTTAGTTAGGTCTTAAGCACTTCCCCAAATTTCTAGGAAAGATAGTCTGTAGAACTATGCAGTTGTACCAGTGCCATGGGGTCTGAAGCATGCACAGTGCATTAAGGGAATCCATGAAATTCATTGAAGTGACTTGAAGAGTTTCTAAAATAGTTATTCAAGAAATTAATTATTCATCCAATACGTATTCAAAGTGCTACTTCAAAATACAAAGTGTGTAAAAAAAAACCAACCCATTATACACACAACTTTTTTAAGGATTGATTTAAAAATACATAATATATGTAGAAAAAAACTGGCTCAGTAAGACTAAACGGAAAAGTGCCACTTAAGAGATATTATGGAAATTTCCAGGCATATCTGCCAGAAAAGCTTGATTCATGTCAAGCCATTTGTGAAGGCCTTAAAAGCCCTTCAGAGCACAGTAACATTAAAAGTAACTGAGCAGTTAGAGAGAGCAAGGGCAGTACATGTACATGCCAAGAATTTTGCAGCTGTTTCCTCTTAAACTGAAACCGGTCCCGCCCGACATGAAGACTGCATTGAGATCCAACTGTAAATATTTTGTACCTACGAACCACACCCGCACACCACAACACCCCATGACCCATGGGGACTTGAGTAACCAGTATATGCATTGACATCTTTTGCAGACTTAAGTTTCTTTTTGAACCCACGAAACCCTCCGTGATTAATAAACAAATGTCAGCCCTGGAGGCTTCAATTTATCAAAAGACAACAATCTTTAAAGAGATGCTGGCAACATCTTGTTTTCTTGAGCTAGTAGTGGTGCAGTGGTAAAGCCCACCCCCGTCCTCCAATTTGTAAACACAATATAGCTTTCTCCATATCCTTGTTAAATCATGACTAAGCGTTAGTTCTTTCAAAAACAGTGCAGTGAAGAAAAGACTTCACCAAACAGGCCCCTGTGATCCGTGAACAAAGAAAAAAGTTTGATGAAGCAGTTAAGTTCTTGTAGTTTGTTTCTCCTTTTTTTTTTGAAAACATGATGGCAATTATGAAAAGACGATGTCAGGTTCTTCCCACTTAATAAGCAAGTGCAACTCCTGTCCCAAAATGCAATGTATTTTGTTAGAATTTTGTTGCTTTTTTAAGGCAAAAACCATCTGGAACTCTCTCTAGGTGTAGTTTTTAGGTATTCGGGTGAGTCATGCGAAGCAAGGAAGAAAGTGTGTTGAAAGTTGCAAATCCCACCTGTAAACAAGCAATGAGCTATGAACAAACAGATGTAAAGAACATACATTTCAAGGTCTTTTCACTGCATTAGAGAGCAAACCACAACTGTGAAATTAGGGTATGTAACACTGGACTATTTTTTCTTGGAGAAGCGTGAATTGGTGGTTAAAAATATGTTGTTTCAGTTTTAAGTCAAACTCCTCATTGTGAAGGTTTGAACGTACACGTAGGGTTAAACTTTCTTTTGCCCCATGGAGGTCACAATGGCTTGGGAAGAGGAAAACGCTGGCATTTATTTTGTCACAATAGACACACCATGAAAAATAGTCAGTGGAAATGTATTTAAAGTATTCAGAGAAGTCAGTGGAGTGAAGTGTACGAAATTAAATGAAGGATGACACAGGAATAGGCAGCAGACAAAATATGGACAAAAAGTTCCACTGCTAGGAACTAGTCGATTCTATGGCATTCCCGTTAACGATTTTGTAACCCTTTGTAAACAGACTGGACAGGGGAATGCGTATGTGTACAAAATTTGTACTAAGTGTTATTTGTAGAGTACGACGGAGAATCAAGAAAAACAAAGTGACAAAAGTTCCTTTATTTAATGATAAATATAACGATATCACTGTTTGGTGACATGTTCATGTATATGTTAGAAAGATGTGTGGAGAAATTGTCCCTTTTTCTGTTGTAGGACGTCTAGATTTTTTGTGGAAATTTTTGGTTGTTTTTGTGAAGCTGAAAGTGAGAGCTGATTGAAAGGGGTTGGGAAAGGACTGGCGCGTGTGAAGGGGTGGGATAGGGTGTTCTATTCATGAATTTAAAAAAGTAAATAAGAGAAATTAAAAAAAATGATTATAATTATTATTATTATTGGAGGTAGGTAGTTGGTTCTGTCCTAAAATCTGTGGGGAACATTTTATCTTTTAGCAAACTTTTCCTTTTTTTTCCTCCTTGTGCGTTTCTTCTCTTTTAAACGTTACCATAGTTTGTAGCTTTGTCTCACTAGCACTGCTTTGTATTTAAAATGCTTATATTGTATGTATTGTACGAACAATGAACTAATTTATGCGTTCAGTTAGGGTGTATCTCTGACTCTTTTATGAAGGCCTGCCAGAAATCTGTTCCTCGTGGAGGTGATTGAAGGCTGTTGGATCAGTGTTTGCGTGGCTCCTTTTGAAATATTTCAAACTCGCGTTATACTCGTCTGGTTTGCCCATTGTGATTGTTTCTGTTCGTGGATATTTTTTTGAAATATTTATTTATTTGCTGATTAAAATGCCCATTTCACTGTGACAAACCAGTTTCAGTTGCCCACAATCAAAGTGGACACAAAAAGGATGTACATGCATTGAGTTTCGTCCTGTGGCGAAGACCACAGCACAGGAGAAATCCACAGGTTTCCTGGGCCCAAATTGCACCGTGATTTTTCCGTTTCCATTGGTGGTTGTTAGTGTGGTCATTTGAATGCTCAACTCACACCTGATGTCCGCTTTCTGACATTGGTCACACCTTTTGTTAATGCTACCCAGCTAAGACTCTACCTCTTTTATTCTGACTGTTTTGTAGGCCTATTATTTATAGTTTGCTCACTGGTCTGAGAGAAATCAGTCTCCTCATTCAAGCGCTCCCTGTTCAGCTGTTGTTTATCTCTGTAATATTTTGTGCAAAAACAAAACAAAGAAAAACTGCCAGAAATTATTTGTGATCAATGTTTACCACGCTCCTGTAGAAAGAAAAAGCCACCATGTTTTGTGTTGTCTTTTTTTTTTTTTGTTTGTTTAGAAATGATACACTGTACATACATTTTAAATATACAAATAAATTCTCTCGATGGGGGGTGGGGGATAAACGGTGTAGCACAATTGTACCTTGTTGCACCAGAACTTACAAATTGGTTCAAATAGGGGAGAGAATTTTAATTGTACATTGTAGCTTTACCAGAGGATATTTCCCATCATCCCTTGTGCTTTTATAATTGACCTTTGACTCATGGCGGCCATGTTTGTAGGCTTGTAATGTAATCTTGCTAGTCCACTGATGAGTGAATGTTAAGAGACGTGCATTATTTATTGGGAGATTTAAACTTTGTTTCAACTGATAATCTTCAAGAGATTCTCCCCTAGGGATTACCATGTTAACATACATTTAAGTATCATGTAATCATGTACAGTGAACCATTGATTTTTTGTACAAATTGTATTTTTCAAGTTGATCCTCCAATTCAAAATGGCCGCCATGTGAACAGGTCCATATATTTATTTGTCTTTGTAGTTAAAAGAAGGGCGTAATTTAGAACTCAAGAAAATGTTTTTTCCGCTGCCCGAGAGGAGCCTGTGGTTTAGAACAGTGGAGTAATTAAACCTACATGTTTTATCTTTATCAGCAATGTTATTAAGTTATTCTCATCCCATAAATCTTGTTCGTGAGAATGGAATAAAAGAATTGACTTTGTGTTCATGCAACCAAGAGAGAAAAAAAAAATCATTTTTCCTTGAGAAATGTTTAATTACCATGAATTTTTCCCCGCACTCTCCGAAAATAATGGCTTCTTCCTTGGAAAACCTAGATAAATGTTAGCAATCGGCCAAAATTAACAGAAAATTCTTACACAATAATTTGAGAAACGTTGGATGTATGTGGGTCAAATTTAGGTAGTGATATGATTGTGATGTTCCCAAGATACCAATTCAACGATGCAAAGGGTAAGACAAACTACACTGATTTGATTTAGCCCTATAACATGTAAACCTTTACCCTACCTGTAACTTGGCACACTTACCAAGTCAAGGGAAAATACTTCAATTTCCGAAGACAATTTCAGCTGGTAAATTGGTCATGTTCTCAAAAAACTCCTCCCTCACAGGAATGTGGGCGAGGTCTGATATTGAATACCTTCCCCAAACAGTTGCTAAATATACGAATTCCTTTGCATCTGATTCTATTCGCTAAAGTTCTGATCAACCGTAGTGCACCCTGTAGTTCCATGATGCATAGCAGAGCGGCCGCCATGTTCATCCTTTTCCGGTATTAACACTGCCCAAGCCAGAAGTGGGGAAGGATGGGAGGGAGCCGACTGTTTGAGGTAGGTATTCAGCAGCAGACCTCACCCACATTCCTGCGGGGGAGGAGTCTTCTGCTTTCAACCTACCCCAAACAGTCGCTAAATATGCAGAGTAGCACGGAACCCTTGGCGTGGGGTGAGGGGTGCGGTGAGGAGGCACTACACAAAAGTGTGCGCCAGAGGAGCATGTAAGCCTCAAGGACTATAGTGCGGACTCGCCAGATAATAGAGCTGTTAGCTGTTAGTAGTTCCAGTGGTAGATCGCCCCGATGAGGAACCCTACCGCATTGATGTAGCCGATGTCAGAACAGCTCTGCCATGTGTGGTGTCCTTTTGTAAGATATCGGAGAGGTAGCATGTGGTGAATGTAGATGGGGTCTTCCAGCATGCTGCCTTGCATATCTCCTCCATTGGTATGCCCCTGAAGTAGGCCCAGAAACTGCCCAGAAACATGAGCCTGATGAGGCGTAGTGTTTGGTTGTCCATAGAGTTCAGCCAATCTGGGTTGCCAAACTTGATGGCCAAAACTGCCATTCTGGCTTTAGTGTTTCTGGTCGCAGCTTGATAAGGTTTTATGGTAGGAATGAAGAGCTGCGATGTCGTACCTCTGAGGTCTCTGGTTCAGGCTAGGTACCATTTAAGAGTTTGCACTGGTACCATGGCTTCTTTGGAGTCCCAGTGTGCTTTAGTAACGTCCGGTACAAATATGTCAGGAGGGTGGGAGGACACTGACTGGTTCTTGGTGAGGAACCCCAGTGTGGAGATGAGGCAAACACCATGGAGTTCCCATCGGATGTGGCCATCGGTGATGGACAAGGCTTTCAGTTCACTGCCGTGATGTGAGGTAGTAACTGCTAATAGGAATGCCAGTTTCACTGTCAAGTTGATCAACGATGCGTCGCTGAGAGGCTCAAAGGGGGGACCAGTAAGGAGTTGTAGGACAGCTGACAAGTCCCAGGAAGGGATTAGTCTCTTGGTAGGAGGACGCTCAAGAAACATTCCCTGGAGTGGGTGTTTAAGAGCATCGTTGTCAAACATGGTCAAACTGTTGGGGAAGCCCTCCTACAGCCCTGATGGCCGATTGGTTGTTGCAGATGGTTGATACTTATAGATCTCATTTGAACAGGTGTATGAAAAATCAGCTACAGTTGTCACAGAAACATTGGTCGGAGTAAGACCTCGCTCTCTACACCACAAAGTAAAATGTCATAATCTGGCATCATGGATGCTGCGCATAGATTAACTTTGGCTCTTTAAGCCCATCTCAGCAGCTTCATCAGAAAGTCCTGCTGACTTCAGGGATCGTTTGATAATAGCCAGCAAGTCAGGTGTGGGTACGCCAGGTGAGGGTAAAGAATGCCCGACTTCGGTTGGTGTATTTATATAACAGGTTTTGCCCTAACCCAACGTATATATTGGGTTGGTGTAGTAGATCTGGCCTGGCAGGAAGGACTATTGGCACCCGTACGAGTAGTCTCGTTAGACATGGGAACCGTGGCACGGCCAGAAGAGGGGATGTGAATAACATCGCTCCCATTCGATTTTGGAGAGTACCACTGGGATCAGGGATATTGGTGAAAGGCATAGGCCAACATCCCTTCCCAGCTGACCTGAAGAGCATTCCTTGCCCAAGCCTGCTGGTGGTAAAATCTGGTGCAGAACACTTGCAGTTGGGCATTCTCCACCAAGGCGAACAGGTCATTGTTTGGTTTCTCCACTTTGGCAAAGATCTGTTCAATCGTGCTGGTGTAAAGAGTCCACTCTGTCAGATGTATTTTCCCCCGAGAGAGGGCATCTGTGATGGAGTTGTCGACACCGGGGATGTGGGTCGCCTGGAGGCCGATGCCATGATCCTGGGCCCACAGGAACATCCGTCTCATCAGGAGGCATTGGCGAGGAGTATGATGTATGACACCACCATGAGGACACTCTTGCCTGTGATGCTCGAGGGAAATGACTTCAGGACATTAAATGCTACCTGGAGTTCCAGAACATTGATGTGACTCCCTTGGAGCTGGAGGTCCCATGTTCCCAATGCTTGAAGCAGCGGTAGGGGAGCTCCCCGGCCCAGATGAGAAGTATCTGAAGTTATGGTTATTTCCGGATTTGCCCTAGGAAGGGGATTCGGGGGAGAGGTGTCCCTTCACTAACCACCACTGGAGATGGGGGCAGATGAAGTCCAAAATGGGGACATGGAGGTTGATTGAGTCCCATTTCAGTCTGTAGAGAGCTAGGAGATGAAGTTGTAGCGGACGCCTGTACATGTATAACCTGCAGAGGGGGATGAGGTCAACCATCCCGCCATCAAACTGACTGAGGAGGCAGAGTCAAGTGAGGGCAGGAGTTGACGGCTTGAAAGAAAAGACCCTCATGCAATCCAGAAGGTTCTTGATGCATTGAGTCATTGGTGAGATTATACCTTGTTGAGGGTTGATGGGTGCCTCTAGATATGTCGGATGCTGCATTGGGGTGAGTTTTTACTTCTTGTGGTTGATAATAAAAGCCTTGGCAGTTCATGATATTGCAATTAAGATTGGTGGAAATCGCTGTGTCGGCCACGATCTGCCGACAATGAGCCAGTCCTCCAACTATTTAAACGGTTCCCCGTTCGAAGGTGAGGTGGAGAGGCCAAAGGGAAGAGTTATGAATTTAAAGAGGTTCCTGTAGTATAGGAAGGTACTTGATACAAATGTTCTTGTAACTTCGTGGATGAATTAGGATGTGGAGGTAGTCATCTTTCAGGTCTATGGAGGAGGCCCAACATGGAATCGGCAGAGACTAGGTGACTGTCAAAAGAGTCTCCATGCAGAATTTCTTTGGCCGGATGAACTCGTTCAGAGGCTTGAGGTTGATAAAAGGTCACCCTCTGTTGAGTTCTTTCTTCAGAGTGAAGAAGAACGTTGAGGTGAAGCCCTTGTTCACCCAATATTTGAAAACAGGGCAGATGGCTCGCCTTTATAGGAGAGAGTCTCTCTAGGACTCCAGTGCCTCTTGCTTGTTTCTGTTGGAAGGAACTGAAGTCGGATGGAGGATAGGTACAGACGGAGGGGGCTCGTGAATCTGAGCAAGTATCTGTGGCGAATCTGTCCCAAGATCCTGCGAAAAGTTGATGTCGCCCTCCGACGGGTCTGAAATAGGAGGGTGGAGAGCCAGATACTCAGAGGCAATGCAGCAGAGACCTTGCCATGAAGCTTTATCAAGTTAGGCAAGGGTAGTTTCAAAGGTGCACTTGTCTTTGTCTTTAAAAGGGGACTTCTCAGTAGGCTTCTGACCATCGGATGATAGCTTATCTTTAGCTGCAGTTGGAATCTCCGGGATGGAGAGGAAGTTGTCAAAGTCCTCCATGGAAAACCGGAAGTAAGTCGATGTGGAGGTGATGTCTTCATCCTCAGAAGACGTAACTTGTTCTGTCTGAAGTTGGTCGACAGAAGAAGGGACGTCACGTAAAGTTGAGTGGCCAGGGGCCGGAGCAGCATGTGACCTGTAGCCCCCACCGGAACCAGGGCAGGTCAGAGGCATCATGAGAAGATCGGATCGTCTGTGGATGCAGATGCGGATCGAATTGTGCGGGTGGAGGGTCTGGATTCAGAGCAGTTGCCAGAGGAGCAGGGTTAGGGGCTCTAGGCAGCTGGCTATTGAGGAGAGTGTCTCCGAGAGTGTACAGCAGGCTGACATAATGTCGGCTAAAGAAATGTCCTGCCATGAGGAGTGAGACTTCTTGCGCCAAGACCTCGTAGAAGAAGGTGAGGAGTGCCCAGAAGGAAACCGGAAGATGGAGTGACAGTGTTCAGCAGTCCTGACGATGTAAGAGGCCAGCGGGCTCTGCTGTGAAGGCCCAGTATTGTCTCTGTAGGGGCTGCCCCGGATAACAACGGGGTGTTGGCCTGAGAGGATTAAAGGCCGTCACGCCCGGATGCACCAGTTGAAAAGACATCGGAAGACGATGGCACCAGTGGTGAGGCAGCCTGTACAGACAGTGCGGGAGGTGTGGGGTCGTCCCGGGGCATGGTCTTGTGAGCCATACCATTAGACTGGTGTAGACTATGGTAGGCAATGGTTGAAAGCTCGCTGCCAGCCAATGTTACTCAGGGAATGCTTGGGAACTGGGACGTGTGGTGGGGGTGTGTCCAGACCCAGCTAGCAGGGGAAATTCAACCCTGAGTGCAGTGCCACTCTGTACTATCGTTGACCACGATGCTTCAGTGGTAAAGTTAGGGAACTGAGCATTCAGATTTCACACACAATACAGCTCAGACCCTTGAAGCATCCTGTGCGGGCTAACCCTGAACCGGACAGAGGATGGGACTGCCAGCAGGAATTAACACGGAATCACAATAGCCTGACTGCCACTCAATCTTCCACAGACCGACTCCTGTCGGTCTATAGGGGAAAGTGGGGCTGAGCAGTCGAATTGCTCGCGCCGCTTAGCAAACCCAAACAATCCCAGGGTCACCCCGTTGACCCTGTATATACCAAGGAAAGAGAAGGACCTCAGAACTGAATCGCTCGCACTGCCTCGCGGAACCTCCAACAATCCCAGGGTCACCCCATATACCCTATGTATCGCTTGGTAGTACAGTAATGTAGAGTCGAGTCTGTAAGATGTATACACATAAGAGAAAATTCCACAAAAACAAGAAATGTACACAGCAAATTATCAAAATATTGAATTGTACATTTATTACAATACGTTACGGTTGATCAGAGTAAAGGCCTTTTCACACTTCAGCCACTCAACTGGGTTGAACTCAACCCTGGGTACACATCTCTGTGAAGTGGCTTCGGCTGCTAACTATGGCTTCCACAGGCTGGCGTGTTACCACCAAGCCAAAGCCACAGCTTTCAGACACAGCCCAATACATGTACATGTACAGGAACAACTCGAATACACTGACACTTGCCAATTCCTTGCAAGCGCTTGAAGCATGCAGCCATAGTTTAATGTACCAAGTGAAAAACTGACGAATAAGAACACTGTCAGTGTTAATTCCAGAATGGGTAAATGCAATTATAAAAAACTGATAGCAATAAAGTTGAGCAGCCACCTGACAAGCAGATTGAGGGTTTTCCTGGATTTACACGTTTGAATCCCCTTTCAGCTGTTTTTAATTTTGCCTTTGTAACAGTCCACAATCCTTCAGTTACAAAAACCATTTTTCGCTTACTGTAGGGTTCAGGGTTAATGCCACAGTTCAATTTTGTTCATTCTGGGTTGATGATGACTCAGACCAATCTGAGGATTTTCTATCCTAAAAAATATGCGAAGCTTGTCTTAATGTTAGCCCAGGATATTTATGCTAATGGACAAAAATCATGATTATTTGTTGCTATTAAATAAACCAAAGCATTTTAGCCATTAAAGCAAAGCGATATTCTAAGAAAATATGCCATTTTGATACAGGTGATAATTTTAGAATTTACTTTAAGCTAAAAACACGATGACCCATTCATATTGAATTAACCCATCTAACGCAGTTACATACATAAATTTTTGTAAATCTCGAACAAAGTGCTGAATAATGCCCTATTTTAGACCATCTACATCTGTACGTTATAATCCAATTTTGCTATTCCACACAAACAGCACAATGCAAGTAAGTACTTTACCACATTTACATACAAAATGATATAAAATATATATTTTTTGGCTGAAATAGCAAACTGAAAGCCCAATGTATTTCATGTTTCCAAAGCCTCTATAATAATATTGCTTAATGCTTGTAAATACGTAACATTTCTCCAACATATACAAAACGTACATCATCTAAATCCTACCAGTAGAAGTACATACAAAAAAATTGTCGTTCATGAATATGCAAGCATCCTGACTTATTTGCATGCCAAGAAACCTGAGCAACAGGTTTTACAAAATCTCTCTTAATAAGGCATTTCAATTCTGAATATTCATTTGGAATATTACTTGCAAGAAGGTGGATTTTTTCACTTATCAAATTGAAACTTCCAATACACTGTTAAGTAAAATGCTTCTAGCGTCACTTCCCATCAAATCAAATTTGTCATTGAATAAATATCATTTGTATAGGTGTGCTTCAGAATACTTTTGCAAGTATTGTGCTTTATGTTTTTGTTATTGTGCTAAAACATTGCAAGCTACTGGGGCAAAACAGAAAATACTCTGAAATGAACCCGACAGTCATATTTGGAGCATCAGCACCGACAATACCACTAGGCTGTGTCTTTTCCTGCACACCAGCATTCTTGTGTTGTTCCTGAACTACACTAGACATTTAGACACAAACACAATTTTTTTTTCACAGAATGTGAATGTGCTCAAAATGCACTGACTAACTGTATATTGGTGCCTATTAAAACCAATCTGAATACCAAAGTCGCAATATTTAAAACAAGGCTAAATATTTTCCATGATCAATCTTGCTCACACGGCTAAAAGTAATATAAAAATGACAGCATTTATCCGTAACTTAAGTATATATATCCTTTTTATAGCATTTCAAAATCTTAAGGCATTTTAATACTTGACAGAGTACATCTGGTTTGGTTACAAAAATAAGTGTATATCTATAAGCAATTGTCGTAGGCTTTACTTCTTACATTACAAAACCAGCACCAGAACCAAAATGACAGAAAGCCCTTGTCAATATGAAAGGAAAGCAGCTTGGCATCACCAAAAATCTTCTAGAGAAACTTAATCTGTGATTGAAACCATACCTCACATTAACCCTGACAGTCCTCAATCCTTCACCTGTTGGAGGACTGAGGACTGTTAGGGTTAACCCTTATGTGTCCTTTGCAAACTTGTGTGGTTAAACAGACGTTGCTTTAGTTTTCTACGACTGCTTCAGTTTGATATCAAGTAGCTTACAGCTGGTATGGCTCTGAAGAAAATGTCCTTTTAATTCAATAATATCATCCATCATTACCAGCCCCATCACTGGCTTTGGGCATTGTGGGGTCAACAGTACCATATCACAAAAATAGATCATTTCAATGGCTATGGTCTTGCTGATGGGGGGGGGAGGGGCAGCTGTCCTTCCGAGCCCACCCCCCACCAGCGATGGGCATACAGTTCTTTTCATCCATGTGCTCTATGTTATAGGTGATTTTTAAATCCAATGCAATTTACATTTCAAAATTTAATCAAGGCCCTGTCATATTATGCAATCCGCTGCAAAATTTTAATGATCTTTATATTAGTCCTTACATGACGATGACCCCCTCCCCCGAGCAACTTTAGGCATCATAAGTACTGCCTTCAACAAACACAATTACTAACTGTAAGCACACGCCCCCTCCTCAGTTCCCCTACTGATATATGTATATGGTCTGCAATTTGCAACAACACTCGCAGTCCATGTACAAAAGTCTCGTGATGTCAATGTTTCTTTGCACAAACAGCGGTAACAGGATTAACCATTTCATTTTGCTGCGCAAGCACCCGACACCAGTTTGGATTCCTTTAAATAGTAAATCCCATCAGACCCTGTACTGCAGTGAAATCTTAGCAAATGAAATATAAAGTGTGTTAGCTTGATATCCGTGCAAATGCATGCGTGAAGTACTTGTTCTGGATAAATCTGAGGTGATACAATATAACCACAGTGACACCACACTTAAATGCACACTCTGAAATTTGAATGTGCACACAAGCATGGTACACGATGTACCACCACAAAATTGGCTTCCTAGCTAGTTCTGGTTGTCGGCTTGCTTTTTCACTCGAAAACCTGCATCT